ACTTATCCAAAGCGACTTGGAGCTGTGATTGCTGCAAAAGATGACTCTACAAAGTATTGACTCTAGGGGGGTGAATAGTTATGCCCATTGACTTTTCTGTTATTCTGTCCTATTTGTTGTTTGCTTCACAATAAAAAAAAAAATCTTCAAAGATGTGGGCATGTTCTGTAAATTGAATGATGCAAATCCTCAAACAATACAGGTTAATTCCAGGTTGTGAGGCAACAAAACACGAAAAATGCCAAGGGTGGTGAATACTTTTGTACGGCACTGTAAATGTACAGAAGACACCCTGTAATTATATATGTTCAATTTTATCCATAGAACATTATTAAGGATAGCTGAACATTAGTACATCAACATTAGGGAATCAGCTGTAAAATTAAAAAAAATGTGGTTGTGTAACAATTTGACTGAATTAGTAGTATGTTGAAATTGTAGTTTATTCAATAATCAGCACCAGCGAGAAATAATAATTGGGTCTTGTCATACAGAATAAAGAATGTACAGAATGATGTAAACCTGTGGCATGAAGAAGGGAACTCAGAACCAGCTCTGAATGTTAAGGCCTTGAATGTATTTCTACTAATCACAGTGAGTGTCCATAACTATTTATTTACCATAATGCAATACATTAACTCAACTATCTCGCAATATCTGGTGCCCAGCTGGCCCTAGTATATTCCACACGTGCTTCGCTGGTCTGCTCAACTCAACCACAAGAGCTTATGTGTTACTTTTCTATATATCACTGGTAGATATACTTTATTTATGAGTTGATAACAGGTGTGCCTAATACTCTCATACAGTGAGTGAAATTAATATTCGATCCCCTATCAGTCAGCAATATTTCTGTCTCCCAGTTGTCTTTTATACTGCTCCTAATCTCAGCTTCTTACTTGTATAAAAGACACCTGTCCACAGAAGCAATCAATCAATCAATCAATCATATTCCAAACTCTCCACCATGGCCAAGACCAAAGAGCTGTCCTAGGATGTCAGGGACCAGATTGTAAACCTACACAAGGCTGGAATGGACTACAAGACCATCGCCAAGCAGCTTGGTGAGAAGGTGACAACAGTTGGTACGATTATTCGCAAATGGAAGAAACACAAAATAACTGTCAGTCTCTGGTGCTCCTTGCAAAATCTCACCTTGTGGAGTTTCAATGATCATGAGAACAATGAGGAATAAGCCCAGAACTACACTGGAGGATGAGGATCTTGTTGATGATCTCAAGGCAGCTGGGACCATAGTCACCAAGAAAACAATTGGTAACACACTAAGCCGTGAAGGACTGAAATCCTGCAGCACCCGCAAGGTCCCCCTGCTCAGGAAAGCACATGTACAGGCCTGTCTGAAGTTTTCCAATGAACATCTGAATGATTTAGAGGAGAACTGGTGAAAGTGTTGTGGTCAGATGAGACACAAATTGAGTTCTTTGGCATCAACTCAACTCGCCGTGTTTGGAGGAGGAGGAATGTTACCTATGACCCCAAGAACACCATCCCCACCATCAAACATAAAAGTAGAAACATTCTACATCAAAGGGTACCATCAAATCTTGGATGAGAACCTCCTTTCCTGAGCCAGGGCATTGAAAATGGGTCGTGGATGGATATTCCAGCATGACAATGACCCAAAACTCACAGAAAAGGCAACAAAGGAGTGGTGCAAGAAGAAGCACATTAAGGTCCTGGAGTGGTCTTGCCAGTCTCCAGACCTTAATCCCATAGAAAATCTTGTGAGGGAGCTGAAGGTTCGAGTTGCCAAATGTCAGCCTCGAAACCTTAATAACTTGGAGAGGATCTGCAAACCCGGTGACCAACTACAAGAAACATCTGACCTGTGATTGCCAACAAGGGTTTTGCCAGCAAGTACTAAGTCGAAGGGGACAAATACTTTTTTCACTCATTGGCATGCAAATCAAATTATAACTTTTTTGACATGCGTTTTTCTGGATTTTTGATTTTTGCTATTTTGTCTCTCACTGTTAAAATACACCTACTATTAAAATTATAGACCGATAATTTTTTAGTCAGTGGGCAAGCGTTCAAAATCAGCAGGGGATCAAATACTATTCCCCTTCACTGTATAATTCCAAAGGTGCTGCTGAAAGGGACCTCACTAATTTTGGATATAAAAAAAATGGCACATGGGGGGGCGGGACTTCCGGTCGGACGGAGCGGTCGCATGTAACCGCAGCTCCGTGATCGGTAAGGCCTAAAAGTGGCAGAAAAGCGGCGAAAGAGCCCGGAACGACCCTACCAGGGTGCCCAACAACAGGGGAACCTCCTACCTTAGAGATGGCACCCCCGAAGTTTCAAAGGGCATCGGACTTCTTCCGGCAGGGTAAAGGAGGGAAGCAGCGCTTGGAGCAAGATGGCAGCGGCTCCCGCTCACCCACTCACACCTCAGACGCAGGATCAGACACAGATATGAGGCAAGCAACCGCTGATGATCTGTCTGTGTCGGAAAAGCGCCTGGCGGCAATGCTGCAGGACCTACGCACCTCTATGAAGACTGACTTCCAAGCTGCGGTCTCTGACATGCGCAAAGACATCCATGAAGTGGGGACACGCGTGAATGCACTAGAAGAAAAGACTGATGAGCTTTGCCACATGAATGACACCATAGTGGAGAAAATACAAAGGATGGACGCTGATAACAAACGCCTTATGGAAAAACTGGCAGATTTGGAAGATCGCTCCCGCCGCAATAATATCCGCGTGTGCGGGGTACCAGAAACAGTGACACAAGAAGAGCTGCCGGCCTACCTACTGCGACTCTTTCAAGCGATCCAACCAAACCTAGAAGTGGCGGACCTCCGCCTGGACCGGGCGCACCGAGTGCCGAAACCTCAAAACCTTGCACAAGAAGTGCCAAGAGACATCGTGACCAGATTGCACTACTACTCTGCGAAGGAAGCCATACTCACGGCGCAAAGGAAGGCCTCAGCGATGCCGCCAACCCATGAAAATATCTCCCTCTTCGCTGACCTCTCACCGACGACAATGGCCAGGAGAAGGGAATTCATTAACATTACGAAATGCCTCAGAAACAACAAAATAGGGTGGGGATTTCCTACAAAACTCCTTATCTGGCGGAACGGCTCCCTAATAAAGATCGAAGATCCGGCGCTGGGAATGGACAAGCTCAAGACCTGGGGCTTGTTCCCAGACGGCAAAGCACCACACACCCAAACCTCCCTAAAGAAGGTGACCGCGGACTGGTCTAAAGCCTAAAGTACACTACCGCCACCCAGAAGGGGATGCCGGCTACAGCACGACTCTGTTAGAGACCCGTGTGACCCCCCCCATGGTGACCGCCCCACTCATCTGGGAATGGCATAGCTTGAAGGACATTCAGCACCCACGTGAGTACTCTTGCTCGCCCTCACCCCCCTCCCCCCCACCCCCCCCAACCCAGCGAAAGAGAAAAAGTGACTGCCACACCACAGCGCAATTTGGCCCACCCTGTCACTGCGAGACTTACCCCTAAGCAGTCAGACTCGCTGCTCAGACCCTTGCAGAGACTGCCCACTAAAATCTGAACCCAGCATGGCCGGACAAAGGCCGAAAAACTGAAGGGCGCAGAGAATGTGCTCACCTCTCACCCCTCCACTCACGGATTTATACAGGACAGCCAACGGCTCAATCAAGCCCCCATATCTCCCCCCCCACCGCCTACTTTTTCGAGAGAGCCGGGCTCTGAAAGAGGTACAGGCCTCACCAAATATCAGAAGCCCCCCCGATACACCTGCGGGACACCGCCTGCCGTTGCGACCCCCTCTCAGTGCAGTAGAGGGTGCGAGCTCGGCAGCAGGGTCCCTCACATAATGCTTAATAGCTGTTTGAAATGTATATACTTTATTTCTGTTTTATGGTTTTGTTTCTTAGGTTATGTTCCAGGTTGTTCCCCCTGCCCTAACCCCCTACCCGAGATGCTCCCCTTTCACTACTGGGTACGACGAGGGGGAAAAATAGCCTCACCCCACCAACTCTGTCATGTAGTGGCAAGAGAAAACACTACACCCAAACAACCGGGCCCTAAGGCCACCCCAACTAGTTAAAATGACCTCCGCCAATAAATTCCGCCTGGTGTCTCTAAATGCCCATGGGCTGAACACCCCACAAAAACGCAGGCTGGCGTTCTCCCAATTACGCACTCTACACGCCTCTGTAGCATGCATACAGGAAACCCACTTCTCAATTAAAAACCCACCAAAATTCTCGTCCACATCTTATCCACAAGCTTACCATGCCAAGGCACCGAATAAGACACGAGGTGTTAGCATTCTCTTCCACTCTGATTGGCAATTTAAATGTGAAGTAGAATACAAAAGCCCCGATGGCCGGCTTCTAATACTAGTAGAACACACTAATTGAAAAAATCAATTAAAAATACATAGGATTTAGTGGAAATGGAAATGTGTAGAGCACTTCACAATAAATGAATGTTAATGTTTGCTCTCTTATTCGAATACAAATGTATCAGCTGGTCCTGTCATCACCACCTATTAGATAAGGAAGGCAGAGTCTATGGACTGCTGAAATTAATCTAATATAAGTTCCAATAAGTTATGAATCCAATATATATGGCTAGTAAATATGAGTAAAAAGTTAGAATCAAGCCCCTCCAAGGGTTAAAATCCACTGCAGCAGACAGATACTTTTTAAAGTTTATTGAATGATAAAAAATGCTACACACACATGTAGCTATTGATAAAAAAGGGGGTCCCAAACATGAGTTACAAAAAAGATAGCACCAGTACCAGGTTTAACAGACCTCGAGCCCAAAAGATCACTTTCTTGCCGGCCAGACAGAAGTGAATTGGATTTTCCTCGTGCTGTATGCTGCTGGTTTCTAGCCGCGTGCGTTCCACTGCGGCTCAGGATGCGTGTCAGAGGTGCTCACTCTCGGGACCGATGTGTATTGGTTTGCAGATGCCGCCTTACTAGTTTCGTGATTCTTGATCACTTCATCAGAGGATGGCATCATGTCCGGCCGGCAAGAAAGTGATCTTTTGGGCTCGAGGTCTGTTAAACCTGGTACTGGTGCTATCTTTTTTGTAACTCATGTTTGGGACCCCCTTTTTTATCAATAGCTACATGTGTGTGTAGCATTTTTTATCATTCAATAAACTTTAAAAAGTATCTGTCTGCTGCAGTGGATTTTAACCCTTGGAGGGGCTTGATTCTAATTTTTTACACATATTTACTAGCCATATATATTGGATTCATAACTTATTGGAACTTATATTAGATTAATTTCAGCAGTCCATAGACTCTGCCTTCCTTATCTAATAGGTGGTGATGACAGGACCAGCTGATACATTTGTATTCGAATAAGAGAGCAAACATTAACATTCATTTATTGTGAAGTGCTCTACACATTTCCATTTCCACTAAATCCTATGTATTTTTAATTGATTTTTTCAATTAGTGTGTTTTATTTTGATTGCTTAACCCCTGGTGGTGGTTATTTTATACTAGTGATACAGTGGTTATGGTAGCCGTATCTAATCTTTATTTTTAATCTTAGAAAGATACTCTACCGAATTTGTTTGGTGTATATCTACTAAGTTTTATCATATTGTTGTTCTAATACTAGTAGGACTACTAAATGACGTCCAGGTGACAGTAGTCAACCTATACGCCCCCAACACCAACCAGTATGACTTCCTTAGGAAAGCTTTACAACAAGTAGACAAGAAGAAGAAAGGGCAGACGCTTATATGTGGAGACTTTAACTGCGTACTGGACCCAGCTCTAGATAGGACCGGCAAACCCTGTTCCCACTTGCGATCAACACAGCTAGGGATGAAAGTGACAGTGCTCCTCAACTCACACGGCCTACACGATACATGGCGTTCGCTATACCCAGCATCTAAAGACTACACGTTCTATTCCAAGGTACATGATCGATACTCCCGGATAGACATGTGCTTAGTGGATGTGAAAACGCTAGATACCCTGGAGGAGGTATCGATTGCCCCTTTGACTTGGTCAGACCATGCCCCCCTCACTTCAGTCTTCACCACGCTCCACCCGGTCCGGGGTCGGGGTCAGTGGAGACTAAACGAATCACTGATAGACAATGTGGACAGGGCGGCCGAGATAAGGAGTGCCTTGGCGCACTACTTTGTAGATAACCACTACACCGACACGAACGTCGCAATGACATGGCTTGCCCATAAGGCAGTAATGCGCGGTCTGCTAATACGACAAGGGGCAAAACTGAAGTGCCAACTGACAGAAAAGAGTAAGACCCTACTGACCGACTTAAAACAAGCAGAAACACGACACAAGACCTCCCCCACACACTCCAACAGGCAGGAGGTACAGAAGTTAAGGGCCACTATAGAAGCACTACAGATGCAGCAAGTAGAAAGGGCAATTCGTAAAATGAAAACCAACTACTATAGACAGGGTAACAGAGCGGGCAAAATATTAGCCTCCCAACTCAGGGAACGCACCTCGCAGGCAAAGATCCCATATATTAAGGACGACACGGGCACCAAGATTAGAAACCCCAAAGCGATAGTAGACAAGTTTGCCCAATTTTACGCAGGGCTATACAACCTGTCTGGGGACGCCAACCAACACCAACCCAGTCCCCAAAATATTACTTCCTTCCTAGACGGAGTGACTCTCCCTCGACTTTCCAACGAACAGGCGGCTGCACTGACCAACCCAATTGAAGCATCTGAAGTATCAAAGGCTCTACACGATACGCCCAGACACAAAGCCCCAGGCCCAGACGGCTTCTCAACCCACTACTACAGGGTTTTTGAGGACCAGCTACTCCCCCATCTCACGGCCCTATTCAACCACATTCTAGAGTCGGGGGAGATACCCCCGGAAATGTTGGAAGCCACCATTATTACGCTCCCTAAACCAGGCAAAACTACTGATACATGCGCACACTACCGCCCAATCTCACTCCTCAACGCTGACACAAAATTGTTCGCCAAGACCCTTGCAAACAGAATACGCCCTACACTAGCTCAATTAGTATCCCCAGAACAATCAGGGTTTGTCCCGGGGCGACAAGTAGAAGATAACACCAGACGAGCCCTTGACATAATGGAACTCATGAATAGAGATCGGTCACAGGGCTTAATAATGGCCTTAGACGCAGAAAAGGCCTTTGACAGACTCCACTGGGGTTACATGACAGAGGTCCTGCGCAGGTTCAACTTCCCGACAAAATTCCTAGCTGGGCTCTTATCCCTCTACTCGTTCCCCCAAGCCACAGTCATGAACTCTGGTTTCATTTCCAGCAGATTCGCCCTAACGAACGGCACAAGACAGGGATGCCCCCTATCGCCCCTCATTTTTATCCTGGCACTGGAGCCCCTGCTCCATAAAATCAGGACTAACCCCTGCATTCTAGGCGCCCCCTCCCCGACAGGCCCGCAAAAAATGGCAGTGTTTGCTGACGACATCTTTCTCTTCCTAACAAACCCTTCGGACTCCCTACCCGCCCTCCTGGACCTACTACGGGACTATGGCCAGGTCTCTTACTACAAAAATAATGTAGCAAAAACACAGGTACTCCCGCTGAACATGCCCAGATCCCAACTCACGACCCTACGAACGTTATACCCCTTTGAATGGAGGAAAGATTCCATTTCCTATCTAGGCACACAACTAGCACCCTCCAAACAGCTCCTCATAAAACATAACCACGGGCGACTCACAGCAAAAATAGAGCAGGTGCTGGAGGGCTGGGGAAGCAAAAACAAACACACATCCTGGTTGGGGCGCATCAACGCCGTGAAAATGATCATACTACCGCAAGTATTATTTCTATTCAGGGCCCTACCCATCAGTTTACCAAACTACACCCTCCGAGCAATTCAGCGACTCATCCATGCACACATATGGAGGAAAAAAACACCCAGAATCTCACTAGCAAATATTAGCACAGCCATGGGGGAAGGCGGGGTGGGTGTGCCACACATAACCAAATACTACCTAGCAACAAACATATCTCAGACGGCACGCCTCCTCTCCACCTCGAATTGCCCACTGTGGCACCAACTGGAAAGTGCTGTCTGTGCGCCTTACTCCCTTAGGGACCTGGTTTGGATCCCAGCCAAGGCCCAACCTCGACTCACGAACCCTCTCACAACAACCAAGCTGTCCCTGCAGCTATGGCTGAGATGGGCCCCAAAAATGCTTAGTGCAAAGATAGAGACCCTTGCCCCACTGACAAGTCTCCAGCACCACACACATGACCTGGATCTGGGCGAGTGGGTGGACAGGGGGCTGATGCAGATAACACACCTCTATGGAGCTAATGGGCTGCTAGCGTTCCCAGACCTCCAGAGCCAATACCACCTACCAAACATCGAAATATTCACATATTTACGCATAAAACATATCTTAGGGGCCACCGGCAAGGAAAGGACACCAACACAACCCCAAAACCACTTTGACTTGCTATGCCAAGGTCTAAAACCCCCCAAAAAACCACTCTCCCTGTGTTACCATAGGTTGCTAGACATAGACAGACCGGCCAAACAATCATACATGCTCAAATGGGAAAGAGAATTGAACTGCGAACTCGAGCATGGGAAGTGGATAGGGACCATGACACTGGTTAAACGGGCGACAAAATGCTTGGACCATGTAGAAGCAGCCTACAAGATGTGGATGCAGTGGTACTACACACCACACAGGTTGGCCCAAATATACCCAGGGGTGCAGGATAGATGTTGGTGCTGCAGCCAACAAGTGGGAAACACGAGCCACATATTCTGGTACTGCCCGGCACTCAGCCAATACTGGCAACAAATCCAAGACATAATTAAATCCAAACTAGGAAAACAATTACCACTCAAACCTGAACACTATCTGCTCCACATGCTACCCCGAGACCTTACAGCCTATGAAGCAGTGCTGACTACCCACATCACCTTAGCAGCTAAAACGTGCATAGCCGCCTTGTGGAAAACAACGACAGTACCTGACATAAAAACAGTACTCGCCAAAATAAGCCTCACCCGACAGTACGAGCAGATGGCACATACAATAGGTGGCACATTAGAACACTACAACAGGACATGGTCCAAGTGGTGATGCCTGGGTGAAGGACGAATTACGCCCCACCTAGCTGACAAACTACGCCCCACCTAGCCTCCAAGCACGAGAGCATCTCACCCCCTTTCCCCCCCCCCCGTACTACACCCTTATCCCAGTTCACCCCCCCCATACACAAAATAAGGGCTTACGTTGCCCTACCGAGCCTTAAAATATGAGATGATGAGCAGGTAAATTAGTTTCCAGCCTACAAGACACGACACCACACAAATAAATAAATAACACGCAAAGGTGATACGAACCCGGTTGCTAACCATCGGGCCCACCCCAAAGAAGAGCGGAGGATACAGGTGGGAGGCTGACCCCCGGAGGCCGGGAGAAGCCACTTAGAGGCATGATAACACACACCAGAAAGCATGCCCAGTCTACCGGGTACTAAAATCAGGGCACTACTCACCACCTGTAACAAAAGCATGAATGTTGCTTGAAACGACACTCTGTACCATTGCCACGAGGATGTATTGTAAAATGCCATTGTACAATGTTATCACTATACACTCTCTGTTATGCAATATGTATGAAACGTAAAATGTAGGTTAAAGTGTCAATCCGAAACCTTTTCATCTCAATAAAAATAAAACATTTAAAAAAAAAAAGAAATGTTAGTGGAGAGGATAAATATACCAAACATGAAAATATTAATAAAGATATTAAGACATAAGAGTAGTATTAGAGTAAGTATGTATATATAGATGTAAGTCCCTGTGTGGTCTAAAACGGAAATGAATGGTAAAGGGACCAACACCCTACCTCCACCCAGGCAGACCCAATCAGTCTCAAAGTATCTGGGAAACAGAAAAATAAGTGTCGTTTCCCAATTAGACACTTCGTACTGTGCCCCCAGTAAGGCTATAAAGAAACGGTAACCATACAGATATCTACTCAGCTGTTATATCCTGACAGCGAATAATGCCCCCATCCTAAATCAATCCAGAAATGTACTCATAGTGGGAAGAGAAAAGGGGACCCTAAGGTGAAGTAGAATCAAATATGCTCAGTAAAGATCCATTCGAATCCCTATTAAACTAAAAAGCAGTTAGAGAGCTGCATAGCAAAGCTCAACGCGTTTTGGCGCTTTGTTGCGCCTTTTTCAAGAGCTAAACCGAGTCCGAGTCAGCCTGTGTTTTAAAACGTTAGGCCGCGCCCCTCAGGACGTCACACAACCAATTATCTCGCGAAACGTCGGTCATGGGCGGTTCTAAATTGTATTGTACTCAAGGGATAGGCCAAAACATCCCGGCGGGCGGCGGTCAATAGACCCGCCCCCCCCCCCAGTACCACCCAGCGGCCAATCAGACAAATGTTCCAGCCTGGTAGGCGTGGTGCGTGTGATTGGCGATCGCAACAGCAAATCATGTCTTTACAGGGGCGGAATAGACAATATTGAGACGCCCCCTCTGTATGCCGTTTCCATTATGTGTCAAACGTTTAGATCTTAGATGAATAAAGCGGAGAATTTTCTAAGTTATTGCTTTATTAAGATTGCGCAGATTAAGCAGCAAAGTATAGGTAGGCAGAAAAAAGTCTACATAAGCTGCCACTTTATAAATGCTAAGACTCATTGTTTAAAGGTATATAGAAATGTATTTTCGTGCACAAAGTTGAAAATCAACCTAATTGAAATGTCCAGATTGAGCCATAACCTTACCTTAAAGATAAAAATATGATATATTATAAATGATATATATATTACAAAATGGAATTTTAAAGAGTGAAATTTTTTTTAAATTTTTTATTTTTATTTCTTTACCGTTTTTTACAACCGGTAACTACCCCACCGGGGGCAATAGCAACCGGTAACTACTCCACCGGGGGCAATAGCAACTGGTAACTACCCCACCAGGGGTAACTAACCGATAATAACCAGTAACTACCCCACCGGGGGTAATAACCAGTAACTACCCCACCGGGGGTAACTAACTGATAACTACCCCACCGGGGGTAATAACCAGTAACTACCCCACCGGGGGTAACTAACCGATAACTACCCCACCGGGGGTAACAATAACTACCAATATCTTTAATACTCCTATCTCTCCTGTACATACTGTACCGCTATTAATACTCCTGTCTCTCCTGTACTTTATCTTCATTAATACTCCTATCTCTCCTGTACTTACGGTACCGCTATTAATACTCCCGTCTCTCCTGTACTTACTGTATCTTAATACTCCTGTAACTTTTATTAATACACCTCTCTCCTTTAGTTACTCTACCTCTATTAATACTCCTGTACTTACTGTATCTTAATACTCCTGTAACTTTTATTAATACACCTCTCTCCTTTAGTTACTGTACCTCTATTAATACTCCTCTCTCCTGTACTTACTCTACCTCTATTAATACTCCTGTACTTACTGTATCTTAATACTCCTGTAACGTTTATTAATACTCCTCTCTCTCCTGTACTTACTGTATCTTAATACTCCTGTAACGTTTATTAATACTCCTATCTCTCCTGTACTTATTGTACCCTTATTAATGCTTTCTCTCTTGTACGTACCTTAACCATTAACACTCTTATCTCTTCTGTAGTGCTGT